ACAAGTATGATTGAGCAGGGTATTGTATCATTAAGCTGCCTGCCAATGCGGGCTCGAGCTGGTGGCCGGCGGCATGCCGAAGGCTGTAAATAGCTGATTCACAGACCAACTTCGCCAAATTTTGCTGTAACGTTCAACAAGCGCAACAAGGCTCCTTAATTTGCACTGGTAACATCACCGTCAGCGATCTTCAGCGTGCTTAAGGAAAACCTGGACATGTCTAGTTCTCGCAGTTGATACCCTACAAACCCTTCTGCTGAGTGAACTGTGCTATTGAGAAGCTCCCCAAAAAATCGTTCACATGCTTTCTGCAAACTGCACCCCCAAAAAACAAAAACACCTCTCTCTCCGCGTCATCGACCGACCGCACATGGCCGCGCGTGGCAAGCCCAGCATCTGGTGGCACCGTCCGACGCTGCTTGTAGTGCAGCTCCAGCTCCACTTCACGCAACGTCTTCCGGATCATGGCCTCGGCGGTCGAGACGTGGGCCACCTGTCCAGGGCCAATGGTCACCTGCAGCAGTGGCCAGGCGTGCGAAACGGTCTGTCTCACGATGCATGAGAATCACACGACGTATGTCTTACCCATTGTTGCTTTCACCCAATGTCATGCGCCCACCTTGAAAGGTGCTCCGAGGGTCTCTGGAGCCATCAACCTGAGGTCAACGGACCAACGGGGGGACTCAAAACGGCGCAATCGGTGCGATCAGCAGAGCCCTTTCCTGGCAATCCCACTTCTGGTTTTGATCCAATTCCTTTCTCAAGAATGGTTTTGATTTGTAGACATCCCACTTCTGTTCCACCACCCGTCTTTCCAAGACAGTTCTTTGTTGCGGTCCAGATGCTTGATAGGCAAGCCCGCAATCTTGTGCTTGAAGTCTTTCATTGCTTCGTCCATTGCATAAAAGGCACTCCTCGAAGTAGCTGCAAAGCTTAGATTCACTTCAAGCGGCAGCATGTAGGAGCAGCAAAAGTTGACAACAGCGACAAAAGCGCAAGTGCATCTAAGAAACGAATGGTAGGTATGCAACTCAAGGGTCCTCCTCGGTGGTATCGGAAGGCCATCAACAGTAGGTCTCGTTGGAGACACGAAGAATATGGTCTTGCCCCTGGTCTATGAAACTCGAAAGACCCCCGCTGGCCAGTGAGATGGGATAGACACCCCCCTGTGGCCGAACAAATTCTGGTCGAGCCGCGAGATGTTGGGTCCAGAAGTTAGCCCGCAGTACTTTTGAATGGCATCTCTGGCTTTTTGAGTTGCCTGCAAAGCTGACTCAACCGAGCGAGTCCCTCAAGTGTCACCCCAAATTGGCCTGGATGCTAACCTTGCACAATCTGATAGAGGTTCGTAAAACATCGTAAAACGATCTATTTTGGAAAGCAGCATTCGATGGTTTAAGATGGGTTGGGATTATTTATATTATTTGGGACTTGCATGGATTTGCTCATATTTGCTCCCTTTTCCGGCATCCACTGATTGGATGTTCATAGGAATCCAATGTCAAGTTTCGAATGCTTCACACTCATGGTCGATCCTGTTTTTCCCTGCCTCTGGGCTTCCTGAAAACAGGACGAGACTGTAGCCCAAATTCCTGCAGGCAAATGTGAGTCACCTAGAACCAGCACGACATCTCTCCAAACCTCCAAGGTCAAAAGCAAATATGTGAATAGTTTTTTGGGGTGCTTTCTTGGCACAGCTGAAGTTCCACGTTTGGCGCTCCCGAGCAATTTGATGCGTGTCCGGTCTGTCCTGGTATCTTGCCGAACGATGATGCTTGCTCCAGATTGATCAGAAATCTGCTTTACAAGCACATCGGTAAGCATCGGCACCAACGATTGTGGTACCTGAACAGTCTTGATTACCGTAAACAAGGCTTCATGGCAAGCCATGGCAAATCTGAAGAAATCGAAAAAATAGCTCTAATGTTGACTGTTAATAAGTGCAAAAGAAAAAAACAACAACCAGGGTGAAGACATCTCCAAAAGTGTTTCTGCCTTTAAATCAATCATCTTCCGATCTCTCATGACCGACGAAATCGACTCGAAATCGACAAGATACGCCTCCAGAGGCTTGGCGACTCCCTGAGGGAGGCTAGCGCCTCCCAAATAACCTTGGTCTTTCCGAACAAAAAAATAATCCCCTTGGTTTGTTTGTGAACGAACCAAACACTTGCTATCTTAATAATAACCTTGCAAAATGGTTTGTTTGTGCCGGTCTTCCCTGACAACTACCAGGGTGGTGTTCCACGAAAGAGGTCGGTTGTCCGAACCTCAAATTCAGTTTGGTGTCCGTTTCTCCGCTGAAGCGAGCTTCTCACGCCAGGGTGCCTGATGGGTTGGGCACCAAATCCGCCAACCAGTCAGGGACATGGCCTTCCGCGGACAGACCGAGAGGCAGACATCGGAGTAGTCGGAGATAGAAATCCATTGTCTTTTCTGTGAACTCTGCAGACATCTGCAGACTAAGGCGTCGGTAAAAAAAAAAGGACCGGCTTTTCTGTTGGCTCGATCTTTCTTAGATGCATTCGGGCGCCCGAAATCGGGCTGCAGGCCAAAGAAAACCAATCCTGTAAAGCGGCACCATGGATTTGCTGATCTCAGACATGGCACTAGGTGGCGGCGCCGGCGGCACTGGAGGAACCAAGGCCGGCAAAGTGACAATAGATCTTGTGTCTCGGGATCTACTGCGATCCCTTTGCCTAGGCGGTACAAGTCTCGTGTCTCAGCCACTCGTAGTTTTGATGCCAAATGCTATTATACTACTATACAATATGATTTGACATCACAATAGTCAATAGATGTCAATACTATCACATAGTATCTATATCTATAGAAGTCTATAGATCCTTGACAGAATGTTGCTGCATAAGACACCTGTTTCTTTGCAGGTGGGAGAGACTTCCTGAACTGCAGTCATTTTGGGGCACTCAAGCTTGATTTAGACGGCCAAGCAACATTGATTAGGCGGCGACCATGTAGTGCAAACACATAGCTGCACGATGGAGCAAGAGGCTGAAGGTGCTTCCTGACTCCTGACTGTTCCTGTCCAAGGGTTTTGGCTATGCTACGTGCTTCTATTGCTCTGGCCCAGCATTCATGGTCTTCTTGGTTCCCGACGTGCACTATCTCGTACGTACCAGGAGTCCACAGTAGTTTTACAAGCTCTCGACGGGTCAGTCATGTTGGCTGTGAAAAAGACTTTAAAAAGTCCTCAAAGCATCTCAAAGCTAGTAATCACCAGCTCCCATCACACTGATGGAAATTTTGGATTAGGTAGTACCTTGTCCGTTCTCTGCAGTATGCAAACATCTTCACAACAGGTCAAGGATGACCTGTCTTTGCAATACTTTCGACTCTAATTCACTATCAGCTGAGGTGTCGGTTGCGGCGATTTTAGGATGCAGCAAACGTCATCGAGCATATTTCAGACGTGCTACAGCAGTCGTGTTTTATCGTTGTTTCACTATGTATCAGCAATTTGACAGAAAGACCCTGCGTTAGGAGCAGTATAAGTCTCTGGCATTCCACTGGGAGCTCCGGCCGAGCCTCGAAATCAGCTTCACCCGAGCACAATCAGGTGGAAAAAAAGTATGCAGAACACGAAGGCGTCAAATTGTGATATTCATGGCCTCCACCCTAATAATCCTAATAGAGATGGCCTCCACCCTAATAGCGATGGCCTCCACCCTAATAGCAGCAAAATCGTCGCCTGAGCCACTTTGGCCTTCAAGTCTGAAATCTTCTCTTCTGGATTCGCCTCGACCTGCAAGGAAAGGAAGGGTGAGCATAGTCGAGTCAAGACCAACCCTTTTCATCGGCATAGATAGGGCGTTTCAAGTTGTGATCACCCCTCCTTCCCTTTTCAAGTCTCTTCACCCCTATAGACCAGTTGCACACCCATGGTTCTTTCACGAAAGTTCAAGCCTGGAACTTGTCTCCACTCAACCTGCTCAGATCAAGGACAAGGCGTATTCTTTGATATAACTCTCTCTCTCTCTCTCTCTCCGCCAAGATCAACTGAGAGAGCTGCAGCTTGAGCGTTACTTGGATGCTCATGCCGCGTATCCTGGGATTCAGAACGGTGTTGTGGCATAGTTTCAGAAATCTGAACACCAATGACCAGTCCCAGTGGATTCCGCTTCCAGCGTCACGTTCGTGCACGTTGAAATGAACGATGCCACGTCCTGTTCCTTAAGCGACTTGAGTCCTCCTTTCCCGTCCTGGTCAATTGGGGTGTTGATGTTCCCCCCCAGCGAAATCCTATGGCTCTAGTCATCCCCTTTTCATCCGTCAAGCGTCGCCCACTCACGCGTGGAGCAGAGCTAAGGCGAGACAGGGCGATGCTTCTCAACGCTGGAGTCGAGCCAACGGCGTCGGTATACGGCACTGGGAGGTTCACTTCACGGCATCGTGAGTCGATCCGATCCTTCCCCAAGCTAATGATCCTTCATGCGAGAAGCAGAACATCCAGGACTATCCTGTCCACATCTCAAGACCTCATCTTCACTGGAAGATGAGGTCTTGATTGTAGATGACACACGAGTGTTTCATGGCAAAACACGCGCAATGGCCAAACACCTCGTAGTGCTATGGCTGTAGGCAAGTCCAGAAGCGTAGAAGCCAGGCCTGCACTTCATCTCGTGGTCCTGCGTTTTGCTCTTGGGACTGACAGACTTAGTAATCGTAAGCAAAGCTGATTGGTCTGTATGGCTGCTATGAAGGTCCTGCGGGCAGCCAATCTCACTGCAATTCATGAAGATGTGGATGGCACACCGCGGTACCGAACTAAACAGAAATGACTTCAAACGAAATCGGGTTGTCCCGTTGATTGCCCATAGTGGCAGCAGGTTTTGGATGTGCTTTGTCTTGACTTAAATCCAGAGTTGCTGTCGGCCGAGACCCAATCCAAGAAAACGAGCCAAAAGGAATTCAATGATCGGCTGCGCAGCTTGCTAAAACGGTGCTAGCCAAAACAAACGTATCATATCGTATCGTATGAGTATTTTTGAGTGAACATCTCAAATCGATACATCTTGGGCCCTGTCGTTGACAAACCATCGAAATGCCCAATCGAAACGTTTGCCCCCTTGGCTCCCCGCAAGACGTACCTTGTCTCCGCAGCAACAGAGACGTCGTCACTTGGACGGATGCGAGAAAAAAAGAACATGTGAAATCATGAAGATGAGTGCAAGATAGTGCAAGCCAAGCATCTTGTCAAAGTCGGTCCTGCCAGAATGTGCTTCAGCTCAAGTCAGCGTAAAATTGAATGAGGTCATCTTGTATGTGTCTGTCGTCTGAAGGCCCTCTTCCTGTATACAATACGCTCATTCTCTCGCCGCATAGGGTCGGCTCGCCAGTCTTTGAACCTTGCAAAGAAGGCCGACCAAACGTGCGCCAATCATGGTGACAAAGGAAAGCAGCATCTGCAAGGTCTGACATGGTGCGTCGGGGGATCATGGCGCCTTTAAACTTTCGGCGAACATAGACACGGTGTGATCGTATTATATCGTACTTCTAGAAAATTATACGTACCAGTACGGTAACGATGTGCTTGCTTTTTGGGGGGGAGGCAGGCATATTATAAAGAAGCCACAAACACGGCGAACCCACAACTAAATACCGAGACTGAGTTTTCAGTCGCTACCTTCGAACAATGAACATTTCGAAGGAGGGGTTGACAGTCTCAGTCTGTCTGAAGGAAAGCCAAAAGATTGCAAACGATTATGATCTGATTAAAAATGATTAAAACACAGAAGTCCGTCGACCAGTTGTCTAAGGCAAGTAGCCACACACATTGGCGCAGCTATGGCGAAAAAACGACGGCTGATGCAGGCTGAGCTAGAACATCGGCCAAAATGAGCTAAGTATTGCTAGTTCTTCTGTTTCAACGAGTTTGGCGACCTTCCAAACGACCTTCCAAAACGGCTTCGTCACAACAACTGCTTGATTCCTCACCAAAGATGGAACATTTGTTAAGTATCCCGCTGCAGGCAACTTTGTGGCTGGAATGCCCTGACTAGCGCCTTCATGAAGGAACGACACTTCTCAACACTCTTGACTTGAGCGAGAACGGCAAGAATGAGGTGGGCTCAGCAGCTTGTGCCAAACAGGAACTCCCCTTCAACCGATCGCGAGGAATCCTCCTTTTGCTCACCGGTTTTCACAACAGGTTTCCGTGCTTTGGCAACAGGTAGGTCTGAAAGCAGCATCAAACTAAATACTAGCTAATGGAACAGATCATTCACTCAATGGCTTTAGGCCTTTCAAACCGTCTGCGCAAAGCAGGAAGCCACCCATCTGCTCTTCCCGTTTCCCACAGCTTCTCCACACGCTGACATCCAAGAGCCAAGTTCAACATCAGCCGGGAAAAGCAAATGGGTTAGATGATATTAGTTGCTTTCGATCTATCCGTCTTGGACAGGATCGACAGGCATGCGTGGCCCGTCCATTATCTCGGCTCAAACACCGGGTGAGATTGGTCCGGAGAACCTCCGAGACAAGGAGCAAGCACACGGCGTGCTCTCACTGACATTGAGAAATAGCATGAAATAGCTTGAAGGTCGAGTCTAAGCATGCGAGAGCTACAGTCATGTTGCACATGGCTGACTGATTGATTTCATCACCTACTCGTTGACTGGGCCACCAAAACAAGACCACGGGCCGACTCACTGGCCGAGGGTTTTCCCCACGCGCTTTTTTGGTGCCGAGTACCAAGTGCCACACGAGGTGACTCCCTGCCACACCCTGCCACACGAGGTGACTCTGTGCGACTCTGATGGGATCTAGTCGATGATGTCTGCAAAGGTGACAGCTTGCACCACTTCCTCCGACGATCGACTGCTGCGCCGTCCGAACGAAGTAGCGAACGGACGACACGTCCGGGCGATCGTGGGTGACGCGATCATGTCGGGCCAGTGGCGTAAGTTCTTCGTGGCAATTGGATTGAGCGTGTTCGTAATCCGCAGTTGAAGTTGATGACCTCAGCATTGAAAGAGAATTTCAAGCGTCTTGATAGCATCAAGACATTGAATGCACACACGCAGAAGCAAATACAACACTTTCAAACGAGAAGGGGCCAGAAGGGGGTCCCTGCAGCTGAAGCACTTCAGGCAAAGTCGCATCTGCCACAACCATCACCTACCACACACGCCGCCCCCCCTCGACCCCATTCGAAGCGCCATGACGTGCCTCTTTTGGGAAAGCCGCGATGGGTGGAACAGCTCCGGGCAAACAGCCTGTGACTTCGATCACCTCCTCAGGTCCCACGTCGTCTCCCAGAAAGTCCGTCTTTACAGTCTAGTGAGACGGGCACAGAAAATCGTGTCGGGAGTGAGAGTCAATTCTTAGTCCTCCATTCATTCCATGATGTGGGTATAGAACTTTGCCCATGCACCAGTGGCCTATGCCTATATAATTGCGCAATATTGCGCAGTGGTCAAACATTAGCTCGCCACCAATTCTGCTCAAGGTGCTTCCTCGGTTGCGATCCGTGTGCCCTTGCCGTAGATAGCACGAAGCTTCTTCCAGCTCAACTTGCAATCAGCTGGGAGCACTGATAAAAGCCATTCGCTCTTCGGTGTCCTGTCAGTGTCATGTGTTTCAAGGCCTCATCTCAAAGGTGTGTTGCTGTGCAATATATATATATAAATGAAGAAGTCATCATGTTTGAACGAATGGGCGTAGGACATCATCCGATCATCAGTCATAAGAAAAATAAGCAAGAGAAAAAAAACATGTGCGCACCACGTAGATGGCATGCCCCTAAGAAATGCTCCAACTCTGGCTTGCTGGCTGGCAATGCTGTTCCGTTTGAAACCAATTCCCGCTCCTCAGCAGCATTGCCTTGGCGCCACTATGCAGTGTGACATCCTGGCAGGATCTTACGACTTGATTGTAGGAATGATGTTCAGTGAATTTATCGAAGCCTATAAATTTGGTGCTTGTGGAAAAAACAACACGGGTACTACAAATTACCCTTAAAGTTATTACTACAGGAACAGGATGCAACAGGTGATAGTAAGAGATACAGTAGTATACCAGTATTTCTGTCATGCTTTTTTCGAGTGCGGTTGGAACTTCCACCAGCGCATCCTCCGATTTCCAACGAGTCTCCAGCCACTCAGTCCATTCAGTCCTTCCAGCCACCAGCGAGTCTCACCTGCACGGCATCCTCGGAGGTGCGGCAGGGCCCATGCTGCATGGAGAGAAACTCCATACCTTTCAGCAAAGCGAGCAACCTGGCTGATGAGTGGACTAGGCCACAAATGACTGAGTCCAGTTTTGCTCTTTCTGCAGACGATTTCCGATATCTGATCGCGGTGAAGCAAGTCCGTTTAGATGAGACGAGATCAAGAGTTCAAGCGCATACTATTATATACTATTTGGCTCAAAAGCGAATGCTTATAATTATAAAGAACTTTGATGAACTTTGTACGTAGCTTAGAAGGCTTAGAAGAAGAAGCAGTGACCCATCCCCACCTCTCATAAGTTCCAGGTCCTGGTGCTTCCAGTTCGGCTGCTTCGTAGCCAGTCCACCTCTCTGTCTTTCCGTTTCCGTCCATGTTCAGAGCCACCGATGGAGCGAGGTACCGCCGCAACGCTTGGCGAAGTTCCTCGAATCCTCCCACGGAGCGAGCCGCCGCCGCCGAAGCCTCCTCGGCGTCCGCGGAGGCGACTCGGTCGCCGCGCTCGCTCGGTGCGCCGACAGCCATGGCTGGCTGCATCTCTTGGAGAAAGGCAGCAATGAAGTTCAGATCTGCGGCCTTTTGGGGAACAAAGTGACCTCCTGAAGCAGAAAGCGTTCGACTCTCAGGTGCAGCACCGATCGACCATCTATATCCAAATGGCGGTGGGCTGACCCCCCATGTACTAATTAGTACCCACGGTGAAGATCCAACCCCATGAATTCCACAACCCTGGCAGAACTTCAGCAAACTCGCTTGCTTTCCGTGCTTTTCAACAAAGCAAACTCGTTTCGGATGAAGGAACACGCATCGAACGAGTCGTCGCCGAGTCTCAAGATGCCAACCCGTCGACGTCTGATGCGGAAAGCACGTCGAACCGAAACGTGACGTCCTGGGTGAACATGAACGCGCGGCTCGTGAAAACGATCAGCCAGGAGTTGACTGGTCCAAGGGGGCATGTGTGCATCAGCTTCTCCCCAAATGTGCAGGCTTGGCACGGCAATTGGCTCTTCAAAGGCACCTCCGGACAAACCAAAAGCACAGCGAGATGACTGAACAATGCAAAACCTTGCGGCCACTCACTCCAAAAGCAAAGCAAGTCTTTTCTGAAACTCATTGAACTGATGGTAAAATGTTCAAGCCCATAAATGCTATTAAATGCTCACCTTGCAGACCTTGCGGTATGGGCTTTCCAAATCCTGAAATCAGGATAGCAAAGCGTGGTGGGCAACCGTTCCGCTGCAGTTTCGCACAAAGAGCTGCTGCGACAACCGCGCCCTGGGAGAATCCCAGCACTGCATCATAGCCTTTGGACCATTCCTGGCACATTTGGCTTCGCCCAAGAAGCAATCATTTGCGGAGTGGTTTCTTTCTGGGAATAACAAACTGTAATAATTTCACATAACGAATTGTTTGGAAACACGGTTCAAGGAAGCATGAACGTCCAGATTCCTCCATCACGAAGGCCAAACTTTCATCAAGACCCACTGGCTCAAAAGTGGCCCTTTGCAAGAGTACATCAGCCAGTGATTGAATTGTCTCCGCAGTGCCGTCCCAAAGCTCCTGGTTGTATAGCCACCTGGCAAAGGCTGTTCGACTCAACCTTCTGTACAATACATAATCCGTGGAAAACCTCTAATCGAGTCTTGTCTTTGCAAAAGTGTCTGCCGCATTCCAGTGTGGCCGGGGTGGGTTTGCAAATTACATAGAGAAAATCTGCTTTGGGCATTCACATCCGTGGTGGTCAGCGAATCGGCACGGCAAAACTATCACCACTGTCTAGAAGCGACACGGCTATCACTTTCAACCGCTATGATTGCATACTGCGTATCTTTCTCCGAGGACATGGTTTAGGATCTCAAGATCTTACCCCGCCCTACGTTAGAGTGCACACTGGTTGGAAAATACATAGCAACCCTTTCTTCATTGCTGAGCACAGTCATCCTTCCCTCTACAAGTAGTTGATGCCCCGTTCCCTCAGGGACAATGTTGGTCCCAAGCACATGCTTGTTCTCTTTTTGTGCTCGCAGTGGACCTCCTATCCCTATCGTATCCTAGCTAGTGATGCAGGATGTTGTCTCTCAAACAAGATTTTGACTGAAATTGAAAGGTGCGAGACGAGTAAGACCCACGAGTAGCCTACGCAACAAACTCAACAAACCTACGCGAAAGAAAAATCAAGTGCCCCCCGTCTGAAACCTACTACGCACACTTCACATGAATTGCTTACGCGTTCAATGAGTTCCCTCCTGATCCTCATCTAAATTATTCATCTAAAGAAAAGAAAGCTGCTCTTAGTAAAACCTCAGAAAAGGCACCATCCTCGCAAAGACTCGTCATACGGCAGTACGAAGGGGGGCATCAATCACAACGACGGATGCAATGGATTTCAGCTTTCGTAGCAGTGCTTTTAGCTTTTGTCCAAACAACTCTGCATTGGTCCCAAAGCCATGTAATGCAAGCACGCGGGCAACCATGTGATGAATCTGAGTGTTGTTTCGCGAAGGTTGGGCGTGTCTTTGTCCTCTCAGTGAATCCGGGTATTTGCTATGATGGTAGCTGCTTGGTAGCTGGGAAGTGCTGTGGCAATGCTAAATGTTATTAATAACTATTACAGTATATGTATGGGTTGGTATATGTATATCTATATAGAACTCAACTAAAAATAGTAATAGTAAATAGTAATAACAGTAATTATATATAACTATGATAACTGCATATATTATCATATATTATATTGTTTGATCAAACATCAGCGTGTGTTCCTTCACAATTGACTGCTTACATGCAATCTCGGACGTTGGTTTTTTGTTGGCTCATTTGGTCCGTGGACTGAGGGCCCCAGCAGCTCAGCAGCTTGAGAGCTCAGCAGCTTGAGCCAAATACAATCGACAAAGGTCGGATGCGAACCCGCCAAGGGCAACAAGATGCAACAAGTAAGTCAGCGAACCACAAACAGCTGGACCAGCTGGACAGCGCAAGCGCTGGATGGCCTAGGCTGTCTCCACAACCTCTTCCACCTCATGGGCTGCCTCCTCCTCCACACCAGCTGCGGCTGCGGCTGCCGCTGCTGCTGCTGTGGCCTGCAGCGAGGATGCATGGCTCGCGTGAAGAGTTTGATTTTGGACAAGCTCAAGTTGATGTCTTTCTCAAGGAGCATGATCATCTCCAGATGTGCTCTGCATGTTCGAAACGACAGGAGTGGTTGCACATGGCCGCCCTACCACACAGCAATCCCACACGAAGTCTCACGCCATCCGTGAAGTCTCTCCCGAAGTCCTTCCGTTGGACCTATCGTCCAATGTGTCCACCGCCTCCTCGACCTCACGCACCAGGATCTTGACACTGATGCAGGGCGTGTATTTGGTCTCAGAGGTCTCCAGTTTCAGCTCGCCATCAAATCCGCCTAAGGCCGCTCCGCTCGGAGCACCGGTCACCGGGGAAACAACAGCGCTGGTTCGAAAAAGGCGTTTTAACGCCTGGACTTAGACCAAGTCCAACCATCCACATCATGGCTCCTAGATGGTCCTACTGACTATTGTCAAGTTTATCTTCTCATTCAAAGAAGAAAATCTCTCCAGTTGAAAGCCCTGCACACCTACAAATCTCGTACAGTGCTGTGCCCGCAGCCTGCCCTCCACCTTCCGGCCTGGCTTGTGAAACTGGCTGCCGTCAAGGACGCATTCACCCAGCAAATCATTGCCTCCAGCTTTGTCATAGTCCCAGACTTTGAAAGAGATGCTGTCCCCCACTTCCTTGCCCATGCAGGCTGCCAAAGGATGTGCGTGTGTGTGACTTTGTTGTTGCTGCCAAAAGACAACTTCTCTTTGGTGGGTTCAGGGTGTTTGAGGGCAACCTACGAAGGTGGAATCGCTTTATTGAATCCAGCCAAGACTCGTATCTGTGCTTGTCCGTCAGGGTTTCATTCCAAACAGGCTCCAGCGTCCGCGACTTGATCGTTGTCGTAGACCTTTCCAGGTTCCGGCCGGTGCCGTTCGATCCCGAACATTCCAGAAAAAAGAGTCAAACGTTCCCACCCATCTGTTTCTAGGCATTAGAGTTTGTGATCAGAGGGATCCCCAAGGGTGTCTAAAAGGAAAGTAGATACTCGGGACTCAGGTGGTCTTCTGACTTCTTCTGGCCAAATTCTCGGAAATTGAACCCGGCTGCGCCTGGAATATGGCTTACCAACCAGCTGCATAGAGCAAAACGGATCTGATTTTCCGTTTGCATCTGCAGGTGGCAATCCTTCCGCATGACCTGGATAGTCACTTGGCAACCGAGTTCGCTTTAAGACAACTCATCCTTCTTAGAGGTCTGAGGTCAACAAACCGCAGCCGCAAAACACTATTCAATTCCAAAACAACATTGATTTATATACCTTTTTCAGATCCTGCAGTGAGTCGATTCGCCGACCCAAGCCCAAAAAAAGCACCAAAGTGGTTTCTTGCCCGTCGGTTTCGCCTTTTACCTGACTCATGACTTGCTGGGGTTGGCGCTATGGCATACCTAATCTTTCAAGAAAACCAAGGCCGTGACGAATCAAGATGGTCATCCTTGGCGGCGGTTCCGGGAAGGCCATCACTTGAATTCGTACTCGCAGGGCCGGAGTGTAACCTTGCAGTGAAGCGAAAGTGCATCCCTACTAGTACCACTAGTAAGAAGGGCATTGCTACAAGCAACAAAAAGCTACTAGGGGCCCAGGGGCTCCTAGCATCGCTACTAGGAGCAAGGACGCTAGTAACAAGAAGCTACTAGGAACAAAAAGCTACTAGACCCGCTGAACATGCTCCGGGCACCCGAAAAGGTGGGCAGTTTAGGCGAACTCCATCACTGCGGTCAGACGTCTTCGAGACACCCGAGCAGGTGCGGCCGTCAGGACGTCTTCGACGGTCTTCGGTGATGAATGGCGTGTTTCAAAACCGGTCGACCCTGCCTTTGAGCTTCGCCAACTCTGGGGCCAAGGTCATTGGCCATGAACCGTCAAAGCCACCAGGTCTGTGGAACTCCTGAATTCTGAACCACTGGAAGAAGTGTGTGAACTTAGAAAGGCTTCAAATAGTTAAGGAGTGTATTACAATTGAGTGACCAAGCAATGTGCATGCTGTCAGCCTGCACATCCAACGCTCTTCACAGATCTCAACCGAACTATGATTACTATCTTCTGTGCGAAAGCAGGACTGACGCATCTGGCACAAAAGATCACAAAAGTGTCTGCATTGAACAAACTGCATGCACACGGATCCTTTTTTTTTATCAGCCGCACACAGGATCCCGAAAAGACATAGATAAACTAACTATACATGACAAAACTTCACTCCCCTTTCTACAAGGGGCTGTGATCACTTCGGCAAAGGTTGCCCAAGTTCAAAAGTATAAAACCTTGACAAGTCTGTGTGCATTCACCTCACTTTTTGGAGGTGCAGACATGTGCAGACGGTCAGCTGAGCCCACGCCCACTCCGGTCAGCGTGGTTTGTGAAGAGCAAGTTGGGTCAGCAGGACAGCCAAGACTTCACACGAATAGGCGAATAGGCTCTCCTTGACAGACCGGTTGATACACAGAAACATGAAGAAAAAGATTGACATATGGACACGCAAACAAAAGCACTAGGATCATTAGGATTCTGGAGTTAAACAATGTTAAACACCAGCTGCTTGGCACATGGTCTTTCGCTCTTTGGAAAAGGACTCTGTTTGGCGGAACAAACACAACGCCACGACTTCCCCACCAGATCGATTCTTTGCAGAACAAGCATCCCATTCAACTTCGCTTCACGCCGCTCCGCCGCTCAGCGGGTGCCAATGGATGGCGCGAGCGCGGAGGCTTCTTTGTGGGTGTCTCTGGTGTGTCTGGGCCAGGATCATTGGATGTTGTTGAGCTGCATGTGGTGATTGATTGATAACAGCTCTGGCCTTCATCACAGTCCGAAGGCTGTTGCGACGGGCATTCCTTGTAACAGTTCTCAGCTGCATCAGTCCAGGTTGAGCCGCACCAATACGTCGTGACGCCATTGTAGCTTTCCTTCCACTGAATGTAGCCACCAAATGTGATGCTGTAGTTGGCTAGAAAGTAATCTTGCGCTACAGAGAAATTGTCGGCATAGGGGATGGACGGTACAAATGGTGCGATGGATTTTTCCCAAAGGTTCCACGTGCATGGTGGATCATCACTCTGGCAATTCGCCGTTGGTTCTAATTCCAGCGTGTCGCCACTGGTATAAAGCTGCGGGGATAGGATGTCAATATTTGGATCTGCAACCCAGGCGGAGACAAGATCCCCAGCGATGCAGTTGCTACATGCATTTGGTCCACTGTGGCTCGTGGTTACACCGACAGAGAAGTTGGCTGCCTTCAATGCTGCGGTTGTTTGCTGAAAGGCCGCAACAATGTCAGTATTTTGCACAATGCTCTCTGCATCAAAGATGATACCATCAAAACCAGCTTGTGAGATGCTAGCAGCTAAGCTGACTGTACCCATCAGGACTGACTCATCCATGGTCACAGTTCCTCCCCCGATGGACAGCCATTTGGTGCAAGGCACTGTGGATCCGCTGCAGATCTTCGACACCACGGGCAGGCAGTAGGTAAGACAATCTTCAGCAGTTTGATACCCGCCGAAACAGATTCCCATCGTTTGGTTCTTCGGTCCATATTGGTAGATGGACCATGAATAAGCCCAGTAGCCCACTGTTAGGTCGTCGCTGCCATCTGTTGGATCTTTTCTCTGCCTGGACTGTTTCTCTTGTAGCTGCACCAGTGCATGCTCCTCACACTCTCCACGTAAGCATGCTGCGAGCACCACTGGCAGGAACCAGACAAGCAGCACTTTGGCCTTATAAAGCTGCATACTGACTGCAACGAAATGGGCCAGTGCTGGATCAGCTGAAGCCAGATCAGTTGCAGCTGGAACAAATCATTGCCCATGACGGGGTGCCCGACAATCATCACAACCACAACAAACTGCAAACAAACTAGATAGATAGATAGATAGGATAGATTAGATTAGATTAGATTAGATTAGATAGATAGATAGATAATCCCTACATACTACCAAATACCACATTCAAGACCACTTGAACTCTATCTGTATCTGTTGTGCGCTGTATTCTCGACATGGTTGATGGTGGTCCTTGTTGGGAACAACACAGCTGCACATGAGATCCCCTTGCAGGGAACCCTTGTCATAGTCGACAACCTCAAAGAGGAGATCGTCTCCCTCCTGCAAACGATGATGGGTTATCACACTTTGTAGAAAGCCCGGCAAACTGAAAAGCAGCTTAAGCAGCGTGGACATGTGTTTAGACCTTGGACACGACAAAAGGGTCAATAGACACCCACCACATTCTGGCCTTCTATGCAGCCTTCTCACCTTCCCGTCCTGATAAGCATAGTTCCCAGTGAGCTCTTCACCCCACCTGAACACTGAGAACATCACCTGCCACCTGGGATGACCGATCCATCACCTGCCTGGGCTCCAAGGTCTTTTCAAGATGTCGCGTCCGGGTCTTGATGTGCGGTTTTCCTCGCAGTGTGAGGTGTGTGCGGTGTGTGCGGTGTGGAAATCCCAGGAATCAGGGATCAAGGGTCAAAACAGGGAGATGGCCTCCAACCTAATAGCAAACTATATTGGACCTTTCTTCCTTTTCTTTTGTATTTGTTTCTAATAGCGACGGCCTCCAACCTAAGAGGCCTCCAATCTAGTACTGTAGTCAAGTACAGAGTCAGTCCTGCCAGTTGCATGGTGCAATAGGGATCAGCTTTCCCATTCACATCTGCAGGCGGCAAGTTCTTCGCTCCGTACACGGTGACTCGTAAAGCTGGCGTCCTGTCCCGGTGATGTGAAAAAACGCTCGTCTCAAGACTTGTGTGATGAGATGATCTCATGAGATCTGTATTCCTGGGCAGCAAACGTGGATACCGATGCATCAAGCGGTAGTAGAGCTGCTTGAATTCGTGGGGAGACAAAAAGTGAGAATCCTGAGCGAGCGAGCTCAAGCCGAGCGCATCGCGAGATACATCTCGAAAACAACTGTTTTACAAGAACAATCGTTTGGCATAATTTTGTTTGGCTTCTGCAGAGTGCGAGTCAAAGGCCAGTTTGGAGAAGGCTGCAAAGTCATCTCCCAGCTCCTGTCGACAAAAGGGATCTCTCCGCTCCATCCCGGCCCATCCCCATCAAGTCTGTGTTGAGCGCACCTTCTCCAATCCAACATCTCGCAGTACTTCCTGTGCCCCACGACAGGAGAGCGCTGTGGATTGATCAGTGGCCAATTCTCTTGAAGCAACAAATTCTGCACCTAGTGGTCAGTAGTAGACAGTGAGAACAGCTGTTGTTGCACAAAAGTTGTTGCACTTGTTCGTTTCTGTCGAACCACCCCCCCTCCCCCAGTCGTTGGCATGGTTAAGCCACGTCGCTGTGAGACTCCCACGGGGGAGAAGAGATATGCCATCAAAGTCGTACCTGAGAAGGCTAACATGTTGAGTCACGGGGACCTGCGCCGTCCAGGCTTGCTCAACTGGTGAAGATGTTGTCAGGTTGCAGGGCAAAGAGGTTCTCTGCATCAGCTGCTGCTAAGTCTGAGATGACCACCTTGGAGCCCGGATGATGGTTTCAGTTTTGAGATCATTCTTTTGCCGGGGGTGGGGAGTGCTTTTGAGTTCCAGATGATTTATTCCTATCAGTCCCAGCTGGGTCTTGATCTTATTCCTATCCCTTCCAGATTTCTTAGTCTCGACTAACCGACCTGACCCACTGACTGAGTCTCTTTCAACCTTCGCATCTCCTTGGCATTGGCGAAAGAACATTCCCGGTCTTAAAGAAACAGGCCTATCAAAATGGAAGGCCATCACAAATACAGAATAATACATCTATGTATCTTTAAAATTTATATATATATAATATATGTTTTGTAGTTTTCTCACTTGTCTTTTCAAGATTTGGATAGATTTGGTGTCTATGTTCTATCATCGATGCGTCTAAAAATCCGAGGCACTTGGGACCTGGAAGTGGTCGCGACTTCAATGCGCTGCGCACAGTTCTGGGCCTTGATGGTCTTCCGAGCAGCCATGTGAGACAACGCGGATCGTCGCGTTGTCTAAGTCTTGAAGTGCTGTCGAGATCGGGTCTTTTTATGTCTTTTTCATAAGCATATATATTAACAATTGCTCTCTGTCAATCTGACTCATTTCATGAATCTATCATCAATATAGTTGTCATGAATGTGTTCAAATCAAAGCCAGCATAATCCAGCATGCATCCTATGGTCTACCAAGAGTTGTGAAGGTGGCATTTTCCAGACCCAGCCAGACCTATGTGGTTTTGAAGTTCTGTGAAGCAACACCATCTGGCAGCTACAGTATTAAGCTGAAGTCTGCAGGCAAAGCGATGCAGTAAGGTGCGTTCTAGGCGAACTTCGCACTTCTATTCAATCTCTTGGCATTGTCTCGTTCTCATCAAAAGGGACCAAAGCCTCTCAAGAAACAACGTAACAGTTGTTACATGTATTATAATTACCATCATTACAAAAACATGATCGGTCCTGTCGTGTCGATTTGCTGGTCCGCTGTTGTAATTGTTCGAAAAAATGTCGTGCACCAGACATGGACATGGGAGGACCATTCAAAATGGCCAGAGATGCTACGTGGTGGTAAGTTGTTGAGCGGCGCCGATGAGAAATGGTGAAGCAAGTGGATGCTCAAAGAAACAAGGATGATAGGATTCGGTCTAGTCTCAGATTTGCTCAAAGTGTTGGAACAAGTTCATCTGAAAACGAAGCTGCAAACTGAGGCGAGTTTGGGAGAACACTGCTCCGGACTCAAGTGATTTGGCACATGTGCTTTTCATTCCAGTTTGGCACCCTAAGCCGTCCTTAGGGATAGTAGATAGAAAGGAATTACAGTACCACTGATGGGAAAACTTGCTCAAACTTCGCTTCATGGCATTGAGCTGCAAAGCAGCTGATGTCCCAAGTCTTCATGATGCTTCATGGTGTACTCAGTCATCATAGGGCTCGAAAGGCAGCCAGATCTTGTTGTGCCTTTTGTTGTTTCCCCATTCAAAGGAATGGTCAAGTAGACAAAGAAAGCCTTGGTAGTAACGACTGCTTCACACGCCACATGTCACCGCTGAACATTCAGCCCACCATGCGCTTGATGCAAGGTGCAACGGTCCGACGATACAATGCTGTACACTGAAAACTGGTGAACACCGATGGCCAGTGATGGCTAGATGCTATACTGCCCCGCCGCAGGCACAATCAATCAGGCGACCAAAATTGGTTATATAAATGATACCAAACCTATGTTGATTTGTTTGGATTTGCAGGTTTGCAGGTTGCAGCTGAGAATACCAGTCCAACTTCCAACCCATCAGCCTAGATTGGTCCTGCGGCAAAATAAACCATATATCGTGCAGGGGCCATGTGCGTCGCCCCGTGCGGTCGCTGACGATATCGGCCAACCTCGCAGCGCCGAGCCCGAGCGAGCGAACCACACACTCCCACCAAGCAGAAGCTAAGTGGCCAACTACGTGCCAGATGTCTTGAGCTGCCTGCGACTTGGTCAGCATTGGGTTTTTTCGATTAGTCCAAGCCTAGCAGCATTCCTCAAAACCCAGAACTGTATGACATTGTACGAAAGTATGAACCTTTTGGACCACATGTCTTTTGATGATGTTCCTTTTCAGGATAAAATTCCTCGGTCCTGAATATCCTTTAGTAGAACGGTGGGTAAAGAGCCGGTGAACAGTGGCAAAATGATGCAAAAATGCCGCCAAGCTTCGCTTCCAGGGGAGTGAAACTCGCCATGATCGATCGGAAGAGCTCCTGGCTTGGTGTCTTGACATGACCGTCTTTGACTGGTCTGGAAACACATGTGAAGTGTTTGAGGTCGTTTCAATCAAAGATGAACGCAAAGACACAGTTGCTAATCAATCCACCAGGGTCCCAAAAATGCAAGTCCAATGTGGTTGCTTAGGAAGGTGATGATTTCCGACGCGCTGGTGGCGTTTTCAGCCAAGATCCATCGCTGGTGGCATGTTCAAACACCTAGGCCTCAGGACCTCATCTTCGACGCCCGGCCTGCCGATCCTCCCAGAGTAGGGCAGGTGTTCGTACATCTCAGTGTACGCACGCCGTACATCTCGGGTGGGTTCCCACGTGCGTACCCCGCATGCACTGCAGACTCGACCCCCAATGTAGTCTCCACGTAAGTTCACGTAAGAGCGTGGGTAGTACATGGTAGTAGTCTACAACACAAGAATTCAGATGCGTTTTGGGCATTCCTCTTCAGTCGGGACTGGTCGCTAGGGCGCGCACTCACACTGCACAAGTAGTTCTTGCCCTCAGCCTTTACCAAGGCATAGAGCTTCAACCTTGTTCCGTGCGTTCGACTTCTCGAGCAAATCACGTGAAGTCTGAACATCTCCTGGGCTCCCCTTGTCTTCGGGCCAGAGCCACAAGCAATTTTTACATAAAAATTGACTGACTGAGGAAGCTTCTCGTGGAGGAAATCGCTGACAAACTCAAACTGGTAGATATCCAAACCTGTCAGAACTTGTGCGTCGCACGAACGTGCGTCGTATCCTTGGAGCGTGCATCGTTTACGAGGTTGCGCAGCAGCGAGCGCCACACGGAAAAGTCAGAGCGAAACAGGTTTCGAAAGGTCGAGAACTGGCCTTTCTCAGCTGGATCCACCAGGGCCTGGGGAGGGAGAGTTGATGGATCAAATACTGAAGATATCCAGAAATGTTCAGAATATCTCCCAAATACCCGGTGATTCCAGGCTTTGGGTGTTTTGCAAGGCTTTCAGCGTCAAAGGAACAATCTGAGCCTCCACCAAGGTGGCTTCAACCGTGGTGTTGACACGGACTGGCCGACGCATTCAACAGTGCATGCCGGGCACAGTCGAAGTGCAGTTCTTGTTTCAACATAGAACCAGACTGACCTGAACATCCCAAATGCTGACCGACTGTCCCCCTCGCAAACAACTTCACTTCAGTCTTGCAAATGCTGCATTTGAATCTACAAGTGCCTTCAAGTCTTTTGGACTAGGGCCTAGGGCAAAATGTGCAGAACAGAATGCCTGTAACTTTCGGGGCGCAACTGTGAGCAACGCTTTATATTTATCGTAACCGCGTTCCGAAGTGAGAGATTGTAAGCATGCCTATATGATATCCTATACGCAGGCCTACTTATCGGATGCAGTGCTTCTGTTTTCCGATGTGTTGCCTACACTCCCATGGGCCTTTACTGCAAAGTGTACTGTTATTAGTAAAATCAAAAAGGTCGATGTGAGACCACCTGTGCCACATGTACACCTACTTCATGGTCGATGTCAGCTTTGGCATCACAGTCTGAAAAAAAGGTAAGTTCATGCTTAAAGTGTAGACTCTTGATTCTTGAAATCCCCCTGACGGATCAGTCCTATGGCCGGAAAATTTTATGCTGACATGTCCAGGTTTCGCTGTGGTCAATGCTCAAGAAACTGTTATTCATCAGGGGGGCCGTTTTCATTGGGCAATCACGAGTTATGCCACGGAATTCTGTGCCGCCTTAATAGCCTTTTTCCACAGCAGTGGACCTTTGCACATTCGAAGTGATTGCAAAACTATGGTTGAGCACATGCAAGCCATGATCCACACAGAGGCGATTGATGTTTCGTGGCCTCTCTCACATTGGTGGAAGACCTTTCACCAAGTTTGGATTGACCGCAAAAGCCTTTGCGCAGAGCCATTGTTTGTCACGTGGGTGCCTGCCCACAAATTGGAGCACATCCCAGAGCACCTCATCGATGATGACATGGCGCGAGCCAATCATTCCACAGTGAGAGACATCGTGCTCAACCGGAAGGCCAATCACAGTGCAAAAACTGCTGCCTTGAACAACTCACTCATTGATCCTGACATGCATCCCAGCCTTTGCAATGCAATCCAAGAGCGTCATGAGTGGTCAGCGCAACTGTCCAGATTGTGTGGCCAAGAAACACATGTTTTCAGTGAAGAGACTGATGATGAGCGTGTTGAAGAGAACCAATCACCCAGAGTGCTTTTTCTCCACCTCCCTTGACACTCCAGCCCTGATGAATTCACTCTTTCATTTGGGCAGCAATGGTCTTCAGCACCAGCTACGGGTTGGCGCACTTCCCCCCAAAACTGGACGAACTTCGGCAAGTTCCTTTCCAGCCGGTCCGAATGGAGGGAGCACCCAGATCTTTACATCTCTTACGGTGAACTGGCTGTAATCTTTGTTGCGATGCTCACTTGTGATGGATTCTCGGACGAGCTCTTCACTTTCCAAGATCTTTCCAAGTGGATCAAGGGTTCCTTCACATCTTGCCGGCGCAAGCTACCGAATGCTTTTTGCTGGAACGCACGAAGGCCATGTTTCCCACACATGGGGCAAATCTATGCCACCTGGAACCATCTGTGGTGGAAGGCCTTTTGTTTCAAACAAGGAGCTTGAGTTTCCGGTACGTGTGACGCGTCGTGTGGCTGGATCGGCTATCTCTGCGTGGTGCTTCGCAGTTCGTGATTTCATGGACTCCTTTGTGAACATGTTCGTTCACCACCCAGTGGAACGCTGGTGGTGCCGCGCGAACTCGTTGGGATCTCGTGAGGCAGAAGAGGTTTTACAATCCAAATGAGGAGGGTAAATCAAGAGTCGACATTTAGCTGCAACGCTGTCGACATCTGTTTGAGTGCTTCGATGTCCCCATCACGTTCTGCCCGGTGCCGGACAGATTGATCTGTGCGTCCGTTCTTCTCTTGTCGATACAATAGAAAGACTCTGAAGAAAACGTCCCAGCCAAACAAGGCATTGTGAACAAGGTGACAAAGCCATATCGGGCCGTCGCACATCAGCATTGCTCCTCGATGCAAGATGTGACGAAGTGGGGGAAGTGCACGATCGTGCTTTGGTGGCTTTCGAGGGGTCAAAGCTACTGCGAGGGTCCACAGGATGTTTGTTTTGGGAGTTTCTGCAACAACGGTCTACCGACGTTCAAGGACCACAAAGCTTGTCCGGCAGCAATCGCAGCATGCGTTTCAAGTCCACATCTTGAAGCACCAGCTTCCCACTGCGTTCACCATTTCTTCAGAACCACCTGTGTTTCGTGAAACGAAAATAATGAAAATGTATATAGATGAAGTTCATGAAACAAAAATGAAGATAAAGTTCCTGCAACGAAGGTGATGTGTTGATGTTGATAATCCAACCGAAAGTCATCATTACCCCGCTACCCCTGCCCGCCCGCCCGCCCGCCATTGCGACCCGTTCCTTCGTTTACAAGTGTCTGGTGTCCGTTGTCAGTGTCTGGTTCTCCCACCTGAAGGCCTCACCTTTGCCATAGTCTCACCCACTTCAGTGGCATTCGCACCCAAGGCCTGTCCGGGATGCTGCGGGCATTTTGACGCGCATGGGACGAGTCTCGCAGCAGATCTGGGAACGGCGACGTGTGCACGTCCTTTTTTTGGATGTTTCACGTCCAAGGATCTGAAACTTCACTGGTGACACTAGAAAAAAAACATCGAAGTCTTGCAGACTGCGAGGTGACGCCTCAGATAGGCTCGAGAATTCGACAGCCTGGGCGGATCACAGTGCTCACGCCGGCCGTTGTTTCAAGTCATGATTCGTCAAGATTCAAGATGTTTCAAGTATGTACAATGTCACGTGAAACCATGTGATGAGCCCCATGACAATGTGATTCCATGACAAAGAAAACTGATTCATGCTTTGCATGCTTTGCATGCTTTGCATGCTTTGCTGCGAAGCATGCAAACCACGAACCCTCCAGTCCGGCCTTGGTCTTCGCGGTCATGACCTAAGGACCCAACCCCCCCCGAGTTCACCGACACGGCCAAACCGCCGTTGGGACTTGGCCTCCGTCGGTTGGACACGGTCGCCTTGCCAGGCCAAAAGTCCTGGCCTCGGGAGAAGTGGGGAGCCGGTGAGACGAGGTCGAGACGAAGTCGGGGAGACGAGTGCTTCAGTACTTCACCGATCTTCGACTCTCCCCTTAGAAAAAACTCCAAGTCATGGCCGACCAAGATTCGCCCCTAGCTCTTTCCACTGTATGAGCTAGTCTGAAAGAAGAAAGAGCTAGGGCCTGCTAGGGCATCCACGCACTCTTCTTTAAGACGTAGTTTGGCCTCAAGGAACGTTCACGGGTCGGTCTGAGACCACCGGGTCACTCTACGGCAGACTTCGAAGCAACATTTGCAGGTGAGAGTCGGCATGGACACGTTGAAAACACCCGGCCTCAAGGCGCGGTACAAGCGGTACGAGTACGTATTCTAAGGCAAGAGTGTCCAAATGTCTAGCAACGCTTTCTTGATCCAGGCTCGGCACATTGTGTAAGGAACTAGGCTTGGTCCTTCAAACAGACCGAAGACAGCCTGCGTACGATGAAAGACTGAAATCCATTGGATTGCCCAGCCAAGTGTGGACAAGGCAAATTGATGAGCAATGGCTTCATGTTTTTCCAATCGACAAGATGGAAATGACTGGTTCAATCGGACGCAACCTCTCTTTTTCACACTAGCTCTAGCCCCTATGCGTGTGAAACAAGCAAGAGCTAGATGAAGGCAAACAATCACTGACTCTGGCTGCGATTCTGCAAAAGTCCAAAGCTCTTTGTGCTTTAACTTGCATCTTGTGCTTTCTCAAAACACAACGAATGGCGCCAAATGGAAGAGACTCAGCCAGTCAAAGTAGTGATGCCCTTTGAATCTCCTCATGTTCTTGTTAAAGATATCGTTGCAACACTGCACTGAGCAGTGCGTGCGAAAGCTCTCTCTCTCTCTGTTTTGTATTGTCTTGTAATTTGGAGGAATCTGTTGCATTATCAGGCCTAGGTTTCTCATACTCCAGAGTCTGCCTCCTTTGCAACAGGAAGAATATAGTTCTAGCTGACTTGACTTCTCTGTCGATCATCAAATCCATCATGGTGTCTTGTCGCGCACACAGGTCTTAAGCTGGAGCATGGCAGCACCAGTCATCTGGGCGCAAATTAAAAGTGCTTCGCTATCCAAGCAAGCCGTGCAAGGCCTACTTTCGCAGACCACTATCACTAGTCAAAGATACCAGGCTCCCTAACCCCGGCATCGCCCTTTTCGGTGGGACCCAGTGACTCTCCGCCATGTCTTCTAACCCCCGCCGGGGATCAGGAAACCCAGAGATGTGTAGCAAAGATTTCAACGGGAAAATGGGGGCCAGTCGCGGGTCGTGGCCGTCGCGGTCGCCCGCAAAGATGGTCTTTGCCAGGCCCGATGGTCTAAAACATTGATCAAGGTTGTCGTGTGAACCTTGGACATCTGTCACTCAGTGACTGAGATTTGAAACTGACACGCACACACACATGCTCACAGACAGTGCAGTCATGATGCTCATAGTCTTGGAGCAAGTCCGTAATAACACTGGACCTGAGTGCAAGTACGACAGTCAACGAGATTTGAGTATTCTTACTATGCATTTAACATGTATTTCAACCTAGACTAAGTTTCGCCCATGACCTTGTCCCACAATGCAGCAAAAGTCTGAAGCAATGTTTTACCATCAAACCCACTTGGTCCACACAAACTTCAAACTACGGGACATACCGTAGTATTTGTACTACGTAGCATGTAGCTTGTTTTTTTTGGGAGTTTGCGGCAGAAAGGCGGCAACAGGGATAAATTTCCAGGTGAAAGAATATCCCGGTACAGTACGTAGTTCACACATAAGTCAAGTAGAAAGCAAGCCTAGCTTCAAGCTTAGGTGGCAGCATGAGTCACAGCATGTCTCGCTTGAGTATCTTTCTTCGGCGAAAACCAAGGACTGCACCTTTGCTTGGATTGCGCGTACTCCAGAGGAGTTTGGCCTCCCGAATTTTTCTTCACTGGGTCCTGGCGGTGGACGACGAACGGTGAACGCTGCAACAGCAGTTGATCGAAATGCGTGGCGTTCGCGACGGCGTTCGCTCTGCTTGCAACCAGATGTCGGCTTTCAGCTCCAGCAACAGCTTGACCATCTCTGTATTGTTCCTGAAGACCAAAGTGGCTTCGTTGCTAAAATGAGGATAGAATGTACTGCTTCTGGCCAGTAAAACGCCAGGCAGTTGCACTCCAAAATGCCAAGCAGTGATCTAACTGTCTCTAACTGTCTGACGACCAAGGTTCTCTCGGACGGCCGCGTGAAGAGGATAGTACGCCCTGCGACGCATGGATGCACGGTCGGTGGTGCTCAGGCTGTCGGCTTTTGGTTCATTTATAACTCCCACACCCACATGACCATGGTGTTCTAGAACACCAAATTGGGGTTTTTGCTGGTATCATCCAACGTCTATTAATTACTGCTTCACATCTGGAAGAGGAGCAGCCATTTTCCGTGCCCTTTTCGCCTGCCCAAAAACCATCTCTCCGCATTGACGTTGGAAAATCCTCGGAGACCGAGGAATCGGACGCCGTCGCGGCGAGGTTCGCAGCCAAGTCACTGTTCTGCTGAAGCCATGTAAAAACTTTTCTTTGCGCCTGCGAGCTCCAACGGGGATCTGACCAGTTCTGTGTCTATAGGCAATTCAGCCGAGTAGTTTGGTGTGTTCTTGCTACATGTTTGAATATGTTTGTACATGTATATTGATATGTATATCTAGGTATTCAAACTATGCAACATGCTTGCCTTTTGGCTGTTTTGTATGGATGATATGGCGCAAACATTTTGCATAGTTGGAAGATCCAGACATAATGAGTCTATACTCAATACTCGCTTACGCTTCATCTCGAAATGTTCCGCTAAACATGCAGGCACGTACTTGGATAAACCAATTTTTTCAGAAACCAATCCACACCATGTCACACGATTTCAAGGCCTTATTTCTTGCAACAATCTCGTCCATCTCCTGTCCTCAGTACTGAGCCATCAAATGTCTGGCGACCTATGAACTAAGCCGACGAAGGTTGTCTGCTCTGCATGTCTTTTGAAACTAAAGATCTCTGCCTCAACTGTAAAAAACAAATCAAAAGCTGTTCAGGGCCTTATTGGTATAGAATATATAAGTAGGTATATAGGTGACGATCAGTTTATCAGTTTGTTATGCGTTTTCATTTTTAAGTTGTTTGCCACAGAAGTTGTCGTTCTGTGCCGAAGCTCTCTTCAGTTTCCGCTGACCAGCACCAAAGCGTACACTGGCGGGTGTAGCGCTGCCAGGTGGTGCAGTTTGAACCTCAAAAAAGAAAGACGGGCGGTCCGGAGGACCTTTTCCAACATGAGTGTGGCTTGATGTTGAATCCTAATTAGTGTATATAATGGGTCGGAATAATAAACGTGTGTTCACCCTGTGTTTTCTTTTTTGTATTTTTTCTCACCCTTTAACATCCTTACTTACCTCTTCTGAGGTTTGCTTGATTCATGGATTCATGGAATTCTAACCTGGAAATCGTTTTCAAAAAACCTTATTGAAACTCAACTATGTCATTGCTCCAAACAATTTTTCAAGGGGATGGTACACAAGCCCACATTAATTGCATAGTATGAATTGTTTAGGGGTGGGATTAATAAGCAAACTTGGAGCCCTACGGGAAAAAAATCTAATTTATTAACTGATTATTGTTCTGCTTTGGCTGCCCTTTCAAATCCTTACTTATCTCTTCTACTACTACGACTACGACTACTACTGCCACTACTACTACTACTACTACTACTACCACTACCACTACCACTACCACTACCACTACTACTACTACCACTACTACCACTACTACCACTACTACCACTACTACCACTACTACCACTACTAC